CATTGATGCAGAGCATCACTTGTAAAATTCTTAATCCTTTAACAGGAAACACTAGGGGATATCGCTTGCAGAGTTCTTAATCTTTTTAGTAAACCTCGTTAAGTTTTCTTCCCTCCTTTCTTTGGGAGAAAGGCCCTCCCTCTCCAGTCCCGATAATTGCCCCGAACTGGTGACTCAGATCCTCTGGCTATTGATAAGGGTCATCAGCCCATTGTTAGCAGAAATGGTGTTAGGCGAGGCAGGGCCCTTAGAGTCCGAGAGGGGAGAGGACTTTAGGCCAAAGGTCTTTTTTTCTCTTTAAGAAACATATGAACCAAGCCTGTTTTCCTTTACTCACTTAATCGATAATAGAAATTAATAGAGATATGATTTAAATAATAAGTTTGTATCTTCTTTTCCTTGTCTAGGGACCGAGGCAGCACTGCAGCAGGAAACCCGAGACCCCGCCCTGACTGAGGCAGAAAGGGAAGGGGCTCCATGGAACCCCAGTAGGCAGAGACTGCGCTTTCTCCTCAGGAAGCAGATACTGGAGGGACCTCTCGTCCCTCAGCATCCATGCTAATAATAAGGGAGTTCGTGACTCTTAGGAAAAGAGTTAGGCAGGAAAGTTAGGGGTTTCCGGTCTACCTGCGAAGACACTGAGGTCATCCTATCCTAGAAGGGGGGTCTGTCCTAATCCGCCCACAATTAAGCAAGCCAGAAGGCATTTTTTTAACTTACACAAAGAAACCTGTAGGCAGAAAATTAGGTACCAGTTTAAGCCAGTCACTCGCACCTGCACGATGAAGACCTCAACGACCTTCAACTCACCTGAGCATCACTATACCATCATTACAATAGGATGCGTATGCCCGGAACTTCATTAATATTATTATAACAGACTGAATTCTGGGAACAGACATGCGCAGAACGCAAAATGATGAATCATTGAGTCTTGTCAATCTTAGTGTCAATCCAAGAAGCCCACCCCTCTAAGAAAAGTGACCGACCACAGCAAATGGGAATAAAAACCCCAGGCCTTCGGAGCCATGCTGCCTTTGCTCAGGCCTGCTTCCACGTCTGGACGTGGACTTTCCCTTCTAATAAAAACTTTTCGACCGTAGCGCAGAACACAAAATGATGAATCGTTGAGTCTTGTCAATCTTAGTGTCAATCCAAGAAGCCCACCCCTCTAAGAAAAGTGACCGACCACAGCAAATGGGAATAAAAACCCCAGGCCTTCGGAGCCATGCTGCCTTTGCTCAGGCCTGCTTCCACGTCTGGACGTGGACTTTCCCTTCTAATAAAAACTTTTCGACCGTATTTCGTTGTCTTGCTCAATTCTCCATTCGAGACATCAAGAACCTGGACCACGTGCCGGGAGAGGACCCCACTTTCTAGTAACAGCATCGCATGGAGTCTTGAGCATCGATACGACAGATCCTAGGATCCCGAGAAACATCCTTAGAAAAGCTGCTCCCGGTCAATGTCAAGAGGTCGTGGTCCCCAGAGGGCAGATGGGTTCAGAGAAGACCACACACGTAGAAAGGAAGGGCTCTTCCTAGAGCTGGGGACTTACTGTTGGCCAGGGAAGGGCAGGGGATCCTCAGGGACCGAGCAAAGGAGGAGGGACCCTGCAGCCTTTATTCCCCTGGGAGCCGGCTCAGCCATGGATTGGCAGTCATGGAAAGGCAAGGAAAGGACTTTAAATGAACTCATACTGGAGGGAAGCCAGTCACCACCAGACCTCTCGGGGCCTCCCTAACTCACCTTCCAGGCCCCACTCCCTGTCTCCCTTCCTGAATTCTGGGGAATTCGGGTCGTAAAACCAACTGATATCCTTGTTCTCAGGAACTTTGATTACTACCATCCGCTCTGGGGAACGAGGGAGTGTGTGTGCGTGTGCGTCTGTGTGTGTGTGTGTGTGTGTGTGTCTGTGTGTGTCTGTGTGTGTCTGTGTGTATATGCGTCTGTGTCTGTGTGTGTGTCTCTGTGTGTGTCAGATGTCTGAGAATTTTTCTTCTCCTCTCGGGCAAAGCTTTGAACCCAATATCCGTATTATCCTGGCCAGAAATAAAATCACATGCGTGGTCAGTACTCCTACGTTAGGAGAGCAACAGGACAGAACATTCGACGTTGGAACTTCCCTGAAAAATCAAGTCACATCCCCATCCTAGGCTTCCAGAAACACCTGGCGAACAGCAATGCATGCTGAGTTCTGCCCACAGGCACGAGATACTTCAGACGCCTTTCAATTCCATGGTCCTCTTATTTGCTTTCAGTGAAAGAATCAGGGAAGCTTAAAAACAAATGGTTGAAAGGGACCCAAGAGATTAAAAATTGCGGCTTTTTCACGATCGTAAAAACACAGCTGGACCGTGCACACTGCTTTAGCACGGCAAAGCGCCTCTCCCAGGGCTGGCCCTGGCTTCTGTCACAGGTCAGCTCTGTGCAGTGGGGACTGTGAGCCCCACGCTGACGGTGAGTCTCCCCGAGGTTAACCGAGGCGCCCGGGCCCAGTTTTTGAAACCACATTTCATGACACACAATCCACTACTCTCTCTCTCTCTTTTTAAATTAATTTATTTTTTTCAATGACAGTTGACATACAATATTATATTAGTTTCAGGTGCATTCCGCTGCTCTCTTTATTTAAAAAAAAACAAAAGTTTTTGATCATACAAGCTAGATATCCGCTGCTCTCTTTATTTAAAAAAACAAAAGTTTTTGATCATACAAGCTAGATATTTTAACTTAGATCTAATTCAGAAGGGGGAAAAATAAAAAGTGCTGTCAACGTTTGGTGTACAGCCTTCCAGAATGTTTCTCATACATATTTTTTATTAATAAAACTGGGATCACAGTGCATATATGCATGTTATAATTTATATTTTTTATACAATAATATAGCGCCAGCATTTTCTCATAGTCCAAGATACGTTTGTGAAAATAGACCATTTTCTGGGCCATAACGTAAATCTCTACATACTGAAAAATGTTCACATCCTACAGAACGTTTTATCCAGCGACATGGAAGCAAATAGCAAACAGACATTAATAACGAAAAGCTAATAGGAAAATCTCAAACCACTTGGCAAATACATAGTACGCTTCTAAATCATCCGTGGGTCAAAGAGGAAATCTCAAAATAAACTTTAGAGGAACACGTTGAACCGAATGGGAATGAAAACACGACATGTTGAAATTTGTGGGGCGAAGGCCCAGCAGGGCTGAGAGAAAGATTTATAGGACCAAATGGCTACGTTAGAAGAGAGAGAAACCTCAGATCAATAAGCTCAAGAACCTAGAAAGAGGAGCATAAAATAAATCCCCAAAAAGCAGAAATAAAATTATAAAGATAAAAGCCAAAATCGATTGAATGAAAAGCAGAAAAATAGGGAAAATCAATGAAACAAAGAACTAATTTTGATAAGGTCAATAATCTCGAGAAAATGCATGTGAATCTATAAGGATCTCAAAAGAAAACATTAAATTTCTAAAAATTCCAAATAAAATTGGGATCGCACTTTTCATACATCCTGTTTTATAATTAATGATATATCATGAGCATTTATTTTCTCACCCTCCAAAATATTCTTATTTATCACATGTATTGACTGCTTTGTATTTCATTGACGGATATACCATAATTATTTAAATATTCTTTTTTTACTAGAGATGTGGAGTATTTCAAATATTTTATTATTACTGCTTTAAAATGCTGAGAAGAACTTCCTGGTGCCCATTTGTTAAAAACAGCTTTACTAAGATACAAATAAGACCATACGATTCACTCATTTCAAGTACACAATTTAGGGTTTTTAGCATATTTGCAGTGTGGCACAGCTGTCACCACAATCTAATTTTAACACGTTTTTTTCCTCCTAACGTGAAGCCCAAACCCATTAGCCGTCAAGCTCCATTCTCTACTTGCCTGTCCCCAGCCCTGAGCAACCACTAGCCAACTTTCCGTCTCTATAAATTTGCCCGTAGAGGCAAATTCTGGACATCTGCGAATGGAACCACACGATATGTGGCCTTGTGTGACTGGCTTCTTTCACTCAGCATCATGCTTTTGAGAGTCAGCCATGTTGCAGGGTGTGTCACGGCCTCACTCTTTTTCATGGCTGTGTAATATTCCACTGTGTGAATATATCACATTTTATTTGTCCATTCCACAGTTGATGGATACTGGCTTTTCGCTTTGGGACTATTATAAACAAGGCTGCTATTAACGTCTCCATGCAATTTTGAGTGTGTGTGTGTGTGTGTGTGTGTGTGTGTGTGTGTATGGATGTCTTTATTTTGGGGGGCCGTGAGCCTAGGAGTGGAATTGTTGAGCCCACAGGGTAAGTCTATGTCTAAGTTTTTAACCAGGTGCTCGTTCCTGATTATCTCTTTAAGGTATATTTCTAGCAGTGAAAATAATTAGTCAATAAATCTTAAAATTTTTGATGCAGATTACCAAATTATACTCCTAAAAATTGTGCCAAATTCTGCTCCCACCAGTGGTGCCAGACACTTCCACCGTACAAATCTGGGCTCCAGAGGCTCTCGCAGGATCGTGTCCACCGTCGTGGACTCCCTCCTTATCTGGACAAGGCTTAGTAGAAGGAGCCAGAAGGCCCAGTTCCTCTCCCCGGCCTGCTGCTTGCTGGGCAGGCAACCTTGAGCAAGTGATCTCTTCCTTTGCAAAAGAAAGATGACACCCGGCCCGCCGACCCCACTCGGCCCTGGGCGGTCCGCGTCGGAACGCGGCGCAGGACTGCTCCCCGATGCCGACACACCAGACGGGAACGAGGTCTTCGGAGGAGCGCTGCGTGGCTGGTTTGTCCACGGCGCATCGGGGCTGTTGGTGGAGCTTGGTGCTGGGGGTCAGTGGCTGGTTGCTTCAGACAGATTCGCTTTCGCAGGACCTGAGGACAAACGGATATTCCTTTTTGTACGATGGATGTGGTCACACGGCACAGTGTCAGTGCGTCACTGAGCTAAACGCCCCACACCCCACCAGCACCAGCGGCTGGGTTAGGGAGGGACAGAGGGTTGAGGTGCCAGGGACCCCCACACCTTGACTGTGATGTCTTGTCATCACGGTAGAAAGTCCTTCCGTCCATCCGAACGAATGTGTCCTCCTGAGATTCTAGAACTGGCGGTCTGCCTCCCTCGGGCCCGCGGCCATGGACTGGTTTCTTTCCTGAGGATCTTTCCACAAACCCAGTGCCTTCCTTGGGGGACAGTGGGAGCTGGGGAGTCAAAGGCGCCCCTGCCCGCTCTCTGGTCAGCCGTGACAGTGCCTGGACGGGGACCAGTGCTCAAAGTCTTCACCAGGCACCTCGGGCATTTATCCTGCAGCTTACGGGATGTCGGGGTGGGGTGAAGGGCAGCAGAGGCCGGAGCGTGAGGAGTGGCCTTCCTGGTGACGCCCAGCCTCCGGCCTGGGGCCTGGTGACGAGATCCGGCCAGAACGAGATGTGTGAAGCAACCCCAAGCTCTGGGGGCCTCAGAACAGACCAGTGAACACACGTTCTGTCAAGGGGAGCCACCTGTCGCCACTGGAAAGGCCCAAATTCTAATTGAATTTCCTTTTACTCGACCCAGAGGGCTTATTTTATTTGAGAGATGAAGCTAATTAAATAGGATTAGCCGCCAGGTAACGAGAATCTCCCTTGTTTTAGGCACATCACATGTGTCATCCTTAATCCTCACAGCAATTCTGAAGGATCCGTGAAGGTCACGTGACTTTGCTGAGCCCGTCAAGCCCGTAAGTGGCAGAGCAGGGTTTACAGCCAGGTCTCCCCGACTCCAGAGTCCACGACACCCTTCTCATCTAGGGTGACATCGGGATGTGGCCTGGAACCCACTCCCAGGTCTCTTCCGGCCAGGGGGGCAAAGGGTAAAAAAAATTCCTGGGCCCAGGAAGGACCCGTCAGGGCCAGCAGCGGGTAAGCGAGGCAGGGGCGAGTGAGCTCATGGACGTCGGCTGACCCGCCTGAGCGGTCGCCCAGGCAGGCCCCAGGCTCAGGCTCGCCTCGCGTGAATTCTGGCTCCTTCTCCTTCCCTCCGGCCCGCAAAGCCCTCTGTCTACTGGGTCCCCTTCCAGTCCAATGTCAAGGCACACTGAGCCAAGGACCCCTGGGCCTCTGGCTGGTGCGTTTGGTTGTTGACAGGACCCATTAGTGATGAGTCACTCTACGAGCAGTGTATCAGAAAGCGGGGCAGACGCAGGCCGGTCTGGTGTCCGCTCGGCCTTCCGTGGGGGCGGCCGTAGGAGCCTGCCAGGCCTCGCTCTCTCTGTGGGGGACGGAGGGGACAGGACCCCAGGGGAGTAGCCTTGGGTCAGGCCACAGGCCGAGCAGAAGTCAGTAGTGGACAGTCAACAAAACGCCATCGCAAGTCCACGTGTGGGAGCCCAGTGGGTCAGAGCTGAAGGTTACTCATCCTGAAAGATCGTGATGGCCCAACACCCGGCCGCAGCCCTGGGCAGGAGAGGGCTGGCCAGCTGCCGGTGTCCGTGGGCTGACCGACCTGAGGGCCTTATTTGCGAGGTCACAGGAGTTGAAGGCCACCTGGAGACGGGCGTCCCTGGAGGACACAAGACAGGGTTAGGGTGGCCACCACCACTGTCACCGCACACTGACCGTTATGGACCAAACGCGTCCCCCAAAATCCGTATGTTGAATCCTACCCCTCAGTGCAGTGGCGTCAGGAGGCGGGGCCTCTGGGCGGTGACAAGGTCAAAGAGCCCCACGGTGGGATTAGTGTCCCTAGAAAGAGACCCCAGAGAGCCCTCTTGTGCCTTCCTCCACGTGAGGTCACAGCGATGAGACGCCGTCTGTGAACCAGGCGGGGGTCCCCACCAGACCCCGAATCCGCCAGTGTCCTGACCTCAGACCCCAGCCTCCAGGAACGAATGTCTGATGTTTGGAAGGCCCCAGTGTGTGGTGCTCGGTTCCAGCAGCTGAGCCGACAGACACGTGCTCACGCTCACCTGTCGTCCCAAATATTCTCCATGTGTGGTGACCACGAGCCCGGGTGCTGGTACCATCTACACCGCCCAAGTTAAGGCTCGCCTGTCCACTGAACGCCCACTCTCATTTACCACGGTCCCGAGGTCGTGGCTGAAGGCACAAAGAAATATGACACAAAGTTCCCGTCCTTGAGAAACTTACCCTCAAAACGGGAATCAAAATAGAGGTACGCGAGACAGAAAACAACGCAGGACACTCCCCTCACAGCTGACGATGGTGCGGCCACAACCCAAACAGTATCGGGGTGTAGAGAGGAAGGAAGATGTCAGCGAGGTGACAGTAATCATGGGAGGCTTCCTGGAGGTGGCGAGGCCTGAACGAGTCTTCGAATGACGGGTTCAGGAGAGAGGTGACGACATTCGGGGGGAGAGGAGCGGCGGGGACGGTCGGTACCGAGGACGCAGGCAGCCATGGGCGTCGTGGGTCGTTCACGCCTCGGCTCCACGCCCCAGCCACACGGCAGGTGGCCGGATGACAGCAAGCACCCGCAGGGTGGGAATCGCGTCTCTGACACGGCTCTTCCTCTCAGATCCGATTCAGGGAGAGCGGACGCCGTTTCTCGACCGTCTCTCCCGCGCCAGGCACCTAGGCAAATTAACTTACTCCGCGTTCGCGAGGACCCACGGGGGCAATGTCGCTGAGCCCGCTTCACAGATGGGGAAACGGAGACTTACGGAGCCGAGGGAACCTCCCCAAAGGTGGAAGGGATCTTTCAATCAACGCCGACAGCGGCGGCCTGGGCATGGGAGAGGGAGAGGCCCGAGGAAACTTTGGCGGGTGATGGTTATTATGTTCATTATCTCCTTTGGGGTGATGGCTTCACGTGTGTACTCACATGTCAGAATGTATCACTCTACCTGGTGCAGTTTCTCTTGTGTCAACTGTACCCCAACAAAGCTGTTTAAAAAAGAAATTCTAACTCAGCCTCTCCTACGCCCACAACACAAGTTACAGTGGGCAGGGTCTCTCCTTATCGGCTGGAAAGCATGGTGTCGCCATGGCGACGGCACACGCCGTTGCTCCAGAGGTCACTGCCCCTGGGCCAGCACCAGCTTCCCCCACAGAAAGGCCCGGGCTCCGCGCCCTCAGGTATTGTGACACCGAGCTAAGCCCAGAAGTATTTCACAAAACCCGGCCCTGTTGGGCTCTGCCTGTTCCTAAGAGCTGGTGTGGGCCGGCCCAGCTCTCTGCTCCGCAAACAGATAAGGAAATGGAGCCAGGAGTAAGACTCATAAACTTGCACAACGTCGCCTCTGAGTCAGGACAGAAACAAGACTGATCTTCTTCCTTCTATCCCAGCCTCGGGCGAACCCCGGGCCTGCCAGCTCCGCCCCCACAGAGTCCCCCAGAAATGCCCTCCCATGTGCCCGCCTGTCGACGGGTTCGCCTGCCACGCGCCCATGACCGCCAGCCCAGCCCGCTAAGGGCACCTCCTGCTCGGCTGTCCTGACGTGAGAGGCCCTTTGCTGTGGCCTTGCTGGTGTCTTTCCACACAGCTGGGCTCAGTGACCGGCCAAGTGCATCGGGGCCACCCGTCCTGGGAGCAAAGCCACCGTTTCTCGCGAGGGCGCCACTCCGCGTGTGGGGGATGGAAGGATCCTATGGGATCAGCCCCAGAGGCACGGCCACCGTGTTCTGTCTCACAGGTCACACACCGGTCAGCTGCAAGGGGCCCCAGTCACGGGGCAGCCTGCATTCGTGATTTAACGGGAACACACAAACCTTACCCTAGATATCTTTCTTTACAGACAAAGGGGTTTGAGACCAGCGGACCTGTCCACGCCGACGCCGGCGGTGACCGGCAGTGTGGGACGACCAGCGAAGGCCGCCCCGGGACTGAGCGACCCGGGACTGAGCGCCCCGGGACTGAGCGACCCGGCTGGCGCCGCCTCACCTTAAGCAGGGGTCCCGGGTCGTCGACTCACCCCCAACAGCGTGAAACACGCAGACGCTACATATCTTAATAAGTGGCAGGTGTCGTTATTTTGAAAGTTAAAATCCAGTGGGACTAAAAGGCCCGAGGAGTGCCTGCTGGCCCGGTCCCCGACCAGTCCCCGACACAGGGGACAGGGCGAGGGCTGGCGGAGGCGGAAGACTCCGCAACGGGGGCCCGGAGGGAGGGCCAGGGTTGGGGGGCTGGCCTCCCCTAAGAACTGGGAGAACATGGACGCAGCTCACGCCCTCCGCCACCTCTGACTTTCGCCAGCTCAGGCTCAGCGGGAACAAAGGCTCCTTGTGAGCGGAGGGGAGCCCGACTTAGCCAGCTTCCCCTTCAGAGGCCTCGCGGCTTTGGTTTAGGCAAACAGGAACCTCGCCGGGGCCTCCCCTGAGGAGGGGGAGGCAGGAGCGAGCCTGCCGGGGAGGGAGGAGGAGGGGAGGGCAGCGCACGCCCTGGAAACTGCGCCTCCGCGCTGAGCCCTGAGCCCTGAGCCCCGAGCCCCAAGCCGAGCCTTCAGAGTCCTCATTGGCCGGGACCTACCTAAATCAGTGCATTTAAGGGTCTCCCCCAGGCAAGCTGGCGAGGACCCTTGCCCACCTTCGGGCCCAGGAAACGGAACCTGGAAGAGGTTGCATAAACTTGCGGGGGCCACAGGGACCAGATATGTCTGACTCTGAGGCCCGCTGCTTCTGTGGGCCCTGTCTGCCCCCCAGAGCACCCCCAGCCTCTGCCCAGCTCCCGGAACTCCAGTCCTGCAGGAAGGCAGCCTCTGCTCTGGCCTCCTGCTCGGAGGGGCTGTGTCTGCTCCAGGAGTGAGTCAGCCTCTCCCTGCCTGCCGCACTGCACGCCTACACACACAGTCACACCCACACACACAGTCACACCCACATCTGTACCTGCACGCGCACACACACGCACACACACGCACACACATGGCTCCCTTCTGCCCTCGGCAATTCACACACACGCACGCGCGCACACACGCACACATACACACGCACGTACACACGCCTGGCTCCCTTCTGCCCTCAGCACTTCACACACATGCACGCGCGCGCGTGCACACACCACTGTGGCGTTTTAGTAATGTTTGCTTGCTTCCTTCCTTCCTTCCTTCCTTCCTTCCTTCCTTCCTTCCTTCCTTCCCACCCCCTCCCCTATGGCAACCATCAGCTGTATCTGTGGGTCTGGCTCCGTCTTGTTTTGTTTACTCATTTGTTTCATGAGATGCCACGTACAAGCCAGATCATACGGCATTTGTCTTTGTCTGACTTATTTCACTCAGCACAATACCCTCTGGGTCTATTCGTGTTGTCGAAAACGGCATGATGTCATTCTTTCTTTGTGGCCGAGTACTAGTCCGTTCCGTACGTACACCACATCTTCTCCACCTGATCGTTCATCGATGGGCACTTAGGTGACTTGCGTATCTTGGCTATTACTAGTAACGCTGCAGTGAGCCCAAGGATGCGTGCATCTTTTCTAATTAGTGTTTTCTTCCGAAGTGGGATCGCTGGGTCGTATGGTAGTTCTAATTTTAATATTTTGAGGACCCTCTAGACTCTTTTCCTCAGTGGCGACACCAGTTTGCAGTCTCACCCACAGTGCATGAGGGCTCCCTTTTCTCCACGTCCTCGGCAGCACTCGTTTGTTGATTTATTGATCGTGGTCATTCTGAGAGGTGTGAGGTGGCATCTCACTGTGGTTTAATCTGCATTTCTCTGATGATTAGTGATGTGGAGCATCTTTTCATATGTCTGCTGGCCATCTGTATGTCCTCTTGGGAGAAATGTCTATTCTCATCCTGCACTCATGTTTTTAATCAGATTATTTGTTTTTTTGGTGTTATGTTGTATGAGTTCCTTATAATCTCGGACATTAACCCCTTAAATGGACGAGAATGGACTGTGTTGTTTTAACCATGAACTTCGTGGTCATTTGTTTCTGCCTCCGTGGGGAGCTGACGCAGAGGGAACGCAAAGCAGTGGCGGACTCACGTCAGGACAAGAATCTGGGACTGTCCTAGTCAGCTCCGGCTGCCGTCACAGACATGCCACCCCGACAGCTTAAACAACAAGCATCGACCTTCTCACAGTTCAGGAGGCTGGAATTTCCGAGACCCAGGCTCCAGCAGGGTTGGCGTCCTCTGAGGCCTCTCCCCTGGACATGCAGACGGCCACCTCTCTGTGTCATAATGTCCTCTTACAGGGACACCGGGCAGATTGGGTTTGGGGCCTCCTTTTACCTTACTCCCTCTGTACAGGCCCCACCGCCAAATACAGTCACACTCTGAGTTAGAGCTTCAACTGTGAGTTCGGGGGACACAATTCAGTCCATGACAGAGGTCCTCACATTTCTGTGAGGCCCTCACTTTTCCAGCAGCTTCTGGGCCTCCCGAGGGCCCAGCTTGAGCCCAAGCGGCCACTGCCAGTGGAATCGGCCAGGCAGACGAGGGAAACTGAGGATCCTGAGGGACTCAGGCGAGGGCAGAGGACACAGGCGTCTCTGGTGTCTCAGCTGGGTGTGGAGTGATTCAGTCTCCTCCGGGGAGACCCATGGCCTCCTAGTCCTTCAGGGGCCCCTGGAGTGAGTGAGGCGGAATGCGGGGTGCCAGGCCCCGTGCAGAGGGGCTAAGGGCTAGACCCGCACTGGCTGGACGGCTCTCTGCAGAGACAGCGGCCAGGGAGACGTGTGAGCATGTCACCGCCCAGGCCGACTGAACCTCCGCCGGCCCCGGGTAGATGCAGGCCCAGAAGAGACTCAGCTGCCTTCAGAGCTGCCCTTCCTGCTCGCTGCCTCCGCGAGGCTCCCCGCCCTCTCTCCGGTCTCCCCTGCCAGTCTCCTCCAGGCCAGGGCGAAGTGTCTCACTCCTGCGACGTCGCGGTTTGGGGACAGGAGACCACCCATCTGTCTACCTGAACAGAGAAGGTTTCACACAAACACTCACCTAGGTGCACGATGGCTGACCTAGTGACCACAGAGGCAGAAAGCGGACACTGCAGTGTCACCCCAAGGCCGAGGGAGCAAAGGGGAGAGGCCGGGGTGATTCAATTCGGGGCGCAGAGAAGACCCCACCTCCGAGGACGGGCTCCCGCTGGGCCTGGCCCGTCTGAGGTGGGACACAGTGAGGCTGTCGTTACGACTGTCGGAAAGGCCACTGGATGGACTCAGCTCCCCGGCTCGAGAACTTCTGTAGCCTCTTCGTAAAAACGCGGCCCACGGTCGCACTGGCACCTTCGCCCCGTGTCTCTGCCAGCCCGGCGGACGCTGCCACAGGTGAGACACTCAGAGCCGCGAAGATGAGCCTAGAACCCAACCCTGACGTTCCCCTCTCTTGCAACGTCAGTGTGTGTGGTGGTTGATTTTATGCGGCCACCTGACGGAGCCGAGGGGTGCGCAGGGAACCAGCAAACGTGATTCCTGCGTGGGTCCATGCGGGTGTTTCTGGAAGAGGTGAGCGTTTGATGCAGAGGGCGGAGCAGCGTGGACCACCGTCCCCAAGGTGAGAGGCCGCATCCAAACCGATGGGGCCCAAATAGGCAGAGGGAGGGCAGACCTCTCCTGCCCAGACATTGAGCTCCCGGTTCTGGAGCCTTCGGCCTCCGCCTGAACCACACCACCAGCGTCCTGGGCCTCCGGCTGCAGACGGCAGACGTGGGACTACTGGGCCCCAGAACCGTGTGAGTGGGTTTCCAGCACGAAGCACTTCCTCCGTGTCCACATGCCCTGTCGTCCCTGGTTCTCTGGACAGCCCTGGCTACTGCAGCAGCATGGTCTCTCTTTGGTCTGACACCCCCTACCTGTGGCCAGGAGGTGGGCACATACAGGACCCCGGGAGGTTTTCGATGTATCGTCAGAGGTGGGTCCCCCAAACCAAGGACTTCATTCTAGTTGCCAGCGTTCGGTGAGGGACCCCAGGAGACAGAGCGCACCCCCGTTCTGATCCACGCCTCTCAGAAACCCCGGAGGCCTTCTCACCCTGGACACAGCCTCGGCTGCAGCGATGATGCTCTCCCGCTTACGCCGGCTCCCCGCCCAGCACGGGGCCTCCGCTGGGGGCCGCAGCACCGCGGCCGCAGCTCCGCTGTCCGGGTTTCTGTGAAAATTCCCCGACTTGTTTGCTCTCCAGCAGGTGTCTTTGGGGAGCTTTGTTTTCCAAGAATAAAACTGTCAAAGCTCTCGCATTATAGAGAAGTCCAGAAAAGATGGTTTTCCAATGAGGATAATCCAAGGAGAGTGTGACAAAGGGACCACTGTGAAGGTCGCACAGGGTGTAGGAAGGCCCCGGGGGAGTGCCAGGCCCCACACGGCGGTGTCAGACATCTGAAGAGGCCGGAGTGGGGGAGGGGAAGAAGGAAGGCTGAGGGGAGCCGTGACCCCTGGGCCAGGCGCAGCGAGCCTGACTTGACTCTGCACCTCATTCTCCTCCCTCTGAGCTCCCGCCCGGGCTGCCCACTGCTGACCCCCAGGAGGCAGGGAGTAAGGCTGTCCCTCGAGATAGGCCTTACGGGAGAGGGAGCAGGACAGACCTGGAGGGGCCACAGGAAGGCGTTCAGAACGCCCGGGCCCCCCCTGAGAAAATGCCTTTCCATAAATGGAAAATGCAATTCTGCCTCCAAGGTGACCAGACATCATACCCACAAGGCCTGATGGACACAGGCACAGCCTCAGTCCTGAGAGGTGCTCTGGAGTGACGGGGTCCGAGAATGATTTCGGCCATTCTGTGGGGGTCTGGCATGCCCAGGGGCGCCCGCCCTTCCCCCAAGGCTCCATCGAGTGTGCTCGGCACTGCCCAGCAAGGAAAAGCTCACGGTGTGAACGGGGCCGTGTGCCACCCTGCCCGCGCCAGAGGTCAGGTCGGAGCCGGACACCAATTACCGAGTTCAAAACCGAAAACAGTCCCGCAGAAAATCTCATCAGGCCCGGCTGCCGGCCAGCCGGTTAAAAATGGATTCCGATCGTTTCTGCTAACGAGACACATATTTTTCCAGAGCCGTCTCGGTCCCCACTGTTGCCGTTGGCCCGAGTTGCTGCACGCCCCTGGGACCGTGCCCTGAAAAGCAGCACGGATCTGAGGGCGCAAACGGACCTTCTGCCAAAAGAGGAAGGGCCCGTCTTCAGAGCAGAGGCCCCGAGTCCGCAAAGAAAGACAGGACGACAGGAACACGAGTGCTCGTACCGAGCCACGGCTGGCTCGCACACGCCTGCTCACACTCAGACACGCACGCACACGTGCTCATATGCACGCACACACTCACACAGCATGCACACGTGCTCATATGCACGCACACACTCACACACATGCACACACACGCACACACACATGCTAACACACATGCACTCACACAGCCACATGCACACACGCACACACATGCTCACATGCACACTAACATGCACGCACACACACAGGCACACGCACAGGCACACGCTGATGAAATATAGTCTCCCCCTCTCTCCCTCCCTGAACCCCGCGTCCCCCCGCCACACACACACACACAAATAAGAAATCTAGTGCAGAGCTGGGACCCCAAATTCAGAGACTTTGGTGCCCCTTTCGCCCCCACCCTGAAGAAAGTGCAGAGGCAGCTGAAGAAGCTGCTCGGAGAGAAGAGCCAGGAGTGGGAGCCGGGTCTTCACGAGGTTCGTAACCCCGCGTGGGTGGCAGTCACAGCCACCCGGCCTCCCCGCCGCCGACACGCCTCGTGGCAGAGGGCTGTCCCACGCAGTGCTCC